CTTAAGTAGAATACTATCCGATCACAGCACAGAAATATGAGTTCAATATTTGTCTAATAGATTAACAGGCCTATTTTAGTTGGTATATTTCATTTAGCCATATTAATTTATCGGAACCCATTCATCCTTTACTAGAAGAAATATTTGCCATAATGATATAACAACATTAAAAGGATTTGTGTTCAATAATATACATAAGATTATCAGTTTTATTAAGTGTTCGACTAGGGGTAATTATCTGACGTGTACAAATATATATATTATATATATATATATATATATATCATTCAGGTCTATCGTTTTCAGTCTCTTTTTATCTAAATGTTAGCTATCATTTCGACATAAATGTCCCTCCACCTACGATAATTACATTTGTATAGAATCCTTACATCATTTTACACTTAGTGTTTATTTTTCAAGTATTTTAAAATTACTTATCATATAAAATACATTTCATGCTTATGAGGTGGAGTACTTCAAAACTGCTATTATCATTCCCCCCCCCTTATTGTTCACAAAGATTCACAGTAATACTTATAAACAAACTCGTTGAAAACACTGATACTAAACCGGGAGACAAACACTAATTTTCTTTACTTTTCACGGATAAATCTAGTGACAATCGATGACATTTTTTATGATTTATATTTGTACACTTTTCATTTGTAAATGTTGTAATTGGATCTGTAAGTTAATACTGACTATTGAAAACTGTAAATTGGAAGACTCAAACAAGAACATGAAGATCTTAGAAATCTTCAGAATACACTTTAACCATACAAATCTTCAGATGCGTACTGTTGAGGAGTCCCATAATAGGACGAAACGGCCGTCCAGTGCTTCCAGGTTTTCCATGGTGGTCTAGCTTCAATTGACTCATGATCTTGACCATTGAAATTACTACAATCTCCACAAAACCCATCTGATATAAATCTTCTGATCTCATTTATTGTTGATTAATTGTTTTTTATTTTATTTTACCTAACTAACAGTAAATATCTGTTTCTAGGTAGAGAACAAATGCTATTACTTTCATAAGATATTTGAAAAGTACATTCACCTTTCAGATGGTCAGGTCATATGAAAGAAAATTGAGTTCTAATAAATTAATGAACCAAGTATAAATTTGTACATTCTATTTGAAGTCATACATTTTCTTGCATAATTTAGCAACTCTATCTGATAACTGAAGCCAAAATAAACAGTATGACATTTAAAACTAATAGTTGAATCCTCTCACTACTGAACTATTATTTCTGCAAGACATTAAGATTAATTAGAAACAAACAAATGAAATTTAACATGTTCAACTTATCTTATATACGACATACATAAAAACGAATTGATGAGCATTTACATGAATAAGATTTATAATAAATAGGATGTTTAACATAGCTATTCATTCTACTATTCATGTCCTATGTACAAACGCTGTAATCAATTTGGTCAATTTAATTGTGTTTTTTTCCCGTCAAAACATTTTTTTCTTTATTCCTTCTATACTCATCAAAATTTCACCATCTCTCCTTAATTCTGTTTTCATCTTGATATCATGCTTAATTTCTTCAATTTAAGCAGAAAGAAAACATACATAGATATAAGCTGAATATACTACGTAGTGTATTTTTATACTATTCTAAAAAGTAAAGTAAATTTTCCATCTAATTACAAAATAAATTTAAGAACAATCACAATGATAAAGATGGATAGTGGCTAACAGTGGAATCAAGGATGCGCTTTTCGTCCTATTTGGAACTCGTTCATCTTTGTTTAAAAAGCTTGTGACTTAATGCTGTATCGAGGCAATCCGCACAGGTTCCACATATGTCAACATGAAACTGATCAATTGAAGTCCTAAATGACAATTGGAGGGTACAAGTAAAAACAACACCAAGTGAATCACAATGGTAGTTTGTGTACTATCTATTCTCTCTGTTCTTTGAACAAGCAAAAGGTTTGTTCATGAAATATATTAGACAATAATAATAGATGCTATGAAAACAAAACTAACCTTAAACATAAATGGATAAATATAAATAAGAGCTAATCACTGTTTAACAATATTTCACATACATATTTTTTTGAATATTCAAATGTTCAATGTTTATAGAACAAGGAAATTTGTTATAATATTTCATAGTATATCCTGAAATTTTATTATTATAGTCAAGCCTATAGTATTAAGTATAGTAATATAATTATTAAGTCCGCCTAGAGCTTCTCTAGGGCTACTACCGGTTCCAAGCCTGGATAAAACAGAAGGGTTGAGTATGGAGGTTAACAAACCCATCCCGTAGAAAACTAACTCGCTAAGAAACCCCAACCAGAAAAATAAACATAATTATTTCTTTTCGTTGCAAAAATTTACTATTCTTTAAAGTTATATTCACTAGTTCATAGTTTTCAATGGTTTCTTTTTAACAAAAATTGATACTAATTCATTGTAAAAGTAATTCTTAAATCATTTTTATTCTTATCATTAGTAGGGAATCATTACAATTAAACCACAGAAAGTAAGTATGAATTGAATATCTAGTTTATTTTGATTATATGTTTCAAATTAAGAATGAACATTTTTGGCTTGTTTTGTTTTTCATTGTATTAAAAGTTATGTAAGATTATGTATAATATAATAGTTTCATAAGAAACATTAATTAAATAAGCAATTTGATCATGGATGCTCAATACTGAAGAGTCCCACAGTAGGACGAAACGGCTGTCCATTGCTTTCAGGTTTTATATGATGATCTAGTTTTTATTCACTCATGAACTCAACTATTAAATTATTTGATTATAGCTTACTTCATCAACTGATTTTTATTAGTAATTAGAAAATGCAATTAGATAATGACTAAATATGATATCTAACTTGACCAAAATGTTGATGAGTGATTTGGTTAGTAAATTTTACATAAGTCATGCTAAAAATCATATTCAATACATACTCTATAAACTGCTGTCCTTAACTAGAATACTTAATTCGTAAACAGAGAGGGGTTTTGTGGATATTGTAGTAATTTAATAGTTGGATTCATGGGTCAATTAAAGATAGACCATCATGGAAAAACTGAAAGCACTGGACAGCCGTTTCATCCTAGTATGAGAGGTCAGGCGCTCGCATACGAGACTGGTAGTTTTGGGGTTTGAACCTCATCCCAATATGGGACTCCACAGCAGTACTCATTCAGGATCCTGCCTCGCGATATTCGAACCCAGGGTCTGTCGGTCTAGACCAATAAGTCGAAACGGCTGTCCAGTGCTTCCAGGTTTTCCATGGTGGTCTAGCTTTAAATGACTCATGAATTCAACTATTAAATTAATTCGTAAACTTAAATTTAGTTTATTATCTAATCAAACACCAACCTTCAAATATATTTTTGATTTTTCCTGTGAACTTCGTTACAAACGATCGAGTCTCAGTTCTGAGAGATTTATATAAAACACCAAACAATAGATGTGCTCTAAAAAATATTGAGATGTATAACAGCAAACGTTTCAGCAACCGACTCATTGATGTCTTTATTAAAGCATCAGAACCTAGGTTGTACAATTCACCCTATTTGAGATTCGTCAGCTGGGTACTCTTGGATCCTAACATTATCGTTAACATGGAGAGTAATCTAGTAAATGCAGTGTCAAACATCAATTTCTCTACCTTACTAAGCTAGGATATATATCATCATTTACTCAAATTAATTATTTCTGGTTCTTATGTAAGAAAATGAACTTAATATAGTTGTACTGTATTCATTTGAAATGTTCCAGTTAATGCGGAGAAAAAACATACATGATATGACTAGACAGTACAACAAACTTCAATCATACGTGTAAATCTTGAATTTTCATAGTAGGATCTCACTGCATTCATCTCATTATCTTCTCGTCCAATTAACTTCGGTTAATCTACATTCCATAAGTAGCTTTAATGATCGATTCTCAACTCTTGGGTCACTGGTACAAACCCATCTCTCGTTACTTGGATTCAAATATCCAGTTAGTATTGAGAAATGTATCTTACAGTGAAGTACAAGAACATGTACTTATTTTCTGAATTGTATCAACTAGTCACATTGAACGCTGTTTTTTTTAGTAATAACAGACAATAACATTATTTTATATGACCTCAGAAAAACTTTACGATTCATATCTTTGCATGGAATTCATTTCCTCTAGAATTAAGTGATCTAAGATTCTATTAATTTTGAAACTTAAGATTAACCATCTGTAAGGATGAAAATTATTTGTGACCTTTTAATCATTATACTCTCATTTAATATACTTTTATGTCATTATTCTATGATTCATGAACACTATAAATACAAGGTTAAACCACTGAAATAGTACTAGAGAAATACGTAAAAGTCGAAAACTTTTAAGTAAAAGTGAAGTTCATATAATCAATAATCCATTCTAAAACATAGCGTCACTTACGATAATCTTCATATACATTGTTTGCTGTCTAAAAAACAATAAGCAATTCACTAGCAATTAATCAACAATTTTGATGAAATTCAATACAATCATATTTCAGAAGAGGTTTTTGTGGATATTATAGTAATTTCACTAGTTGAGATAATGAATCAATTAAAGCTAGATTACCATGAAAGACCTGGAAGCACAGGACAACTGTTTCGCCTTAATATGGGACTCCTCAACAGTACACATCCACGATCTCGCCTCGCGAGATTTGCACCCAAGACCTATCGATCTCGGGCTCGAACACTTAACCTCTAGACCACTAAGTGCACCACTGAGAAATCCCACAATAGGACGAAATGGCCATCCAGTGCTTCAAGATTTTCCATGATGATCTAGCTTCAATTAACTTATAATCTCAACAATTATATTTGTTTACAAGTGCAGTAACATACAAATCTCAATGAAATGAAGGAATTGATCAATGAAAAACAAATAAAAGATGACAATTGAAATTTCATCATAAAATAGTCCCTCCCCTCCTCTCCCCCTTCGCAAAACAAAAAATATATATCAACACTTACCATTTATAAATGAATTTGGAGAGGAATGAGCTAATGGATAATCATTATTAAAATGATTTAATGAAATATCTTTATTATCATGATCAACATCTTTTATATTAGATTTTATTGTACATGATTTGAATAATACAGTATTTTGTAGATCATTATTTAGAGGATTTAATGAATTAGTCATTGTTGTTTCCGTTGAATAGAATCCATTTTTATTTTCAGTGCAAATAATTTGATTTAGAATTGATTCATGATTATATTCAGAATTTTGATTATATAAAGTAAATGTTTCATTCATTATTTTTTAATAATAATTTCTATTATGGTTTAATGTTTAAAAAGGTAAGTTTCTTCTTTTCAATAATATCCAATCTATAAAAAAAATGGTTACCCAAAGATTAAATTGGCATATTAATTTTGTCAAAAATGTAAAGAAGAAGAAGATGATGATGATGATGAAGAAGAAGAAGAAGAGGAAGAAAAAGAAAAGAGAGAAAAAGAAGAAAAAGAAAAACGCACAATCATTTATTCAACTTTATACAAGAAACTAGAATAAATGCATCATTAAACAATGTGGTAAATTCTTTTTTTTGGAAAGGATAAAAATTAAATAAACCAATCAACATTTAGAAATAAACATCTAATATTCATTGGTCATTTTATACTATTCATGTTGGAAGTATCCCTCTTTTTACTCTATCCCTATATATATATATATATATATATATATATATAGAGAGAGAGAGAGAGAGAGGGAGAGAGAGATCAATCCATATCTAGGAAATTTGTTATTCTGTGAATCTATTGAAAGGGAGAATAATAATATTCGAATAGAAATTAAAATACTATTAAGATAATACTATTAAGAAAACTAAATAGGGTGTTGAATAAATAACACAGGAAAACAATCTATTATATTAGAAATAATGAAAGGAAGGTTTGAATATAACACCTTTGTTTTTTATTTTAAAAAAATACTTTTAGACAAAATGTTAAATAAATGTAAATTAAGGCAATATCGAGGCATACTCACAGTATGCACATATGTCAATAAGAGACTGATCAATTTCAGTTCTAACACATCAATGGGAATATTCAAGTAAAACAATACCAAGTGAATTTAACTTCATCCCATTGCACAAGCAAGTGGCTATCAGGACTCACTAGCTAAGTGGATAACGCGATGGTGTTTGAAGAAAATTATACTGGGTTCGAGTCCCAGAGTGAACATCAACTCTAAGATTCAGGCACATCCAGCTGACGAGTCCCGAATAAAACGAAACGCGCGTCCTGGATTCCACTGCTAGCCACTATCCATCTTTGCTTATAATTTAAATTCACTTTCATAAAGCTAATTCATTATATTCTGAACAATACCTGAAACACTTTTTTTTGTCAGTGAGATTTCATGATATAAAATGATAATAACAACCTATCAGATAACGTTGACCAATTGCTGAAAAATGATGTAATTAACTACAAAATACAAAATAAACATGTATCTCACTAAACTGTTTGTTCGTGAAATTCAATTGTATTTCTTATATTACGTTATCAAACCAAATAAACTGTCAGTTATAGGGTCTTCTAATTAGTTTCCCAAATTATTATTATTATTATTTTGCATTATCTGTTGGAAATTGTTAGGAATTATTCCATATTAGTCACTTAACTGACAATATTTTAATAAACCTGAGAAGAGTTTATTTATTCACGTCAAACAAACAAAGCACATACCTCTATAAAACAAATCAAAGCTGAATACAAATATAAAGAATTACAATAAGGAGAATACGTCCCATTCAAAGGTATTTACTACTATTCAAGAAGAAAAGCAGATGTGATAACAAGCTTTGTTGCCTTTTTACAGATGGCGCATCCGGATCCAAAAGCACTGATATAAATGGAAGCATATTATTATCTATTCTCTGCTAGTTCATACTAGTGCATACATAGGTGAAAGGGAACCCACTTTGCTTAATCTAGTAGTTCTCAAAGTTTATACAATTTATTTCATTTGTGATATTGCATGTGACTTCCTTCATAGTTGTGTCTTTTATTTGCATCGAACGGAATGAAGTAAATGTGTTGGCTGGTTGGGAACATTGATTCCTAAGGACTTTTAAGTCCTTATAGGATTTTTCGTATATGAGCCATTAGTTTTCCGAGGCGATTTCTCGACTGTATGTCAATTAAGCAGAAATGTTTTGACAAAGTTACTCAGGTAACCACTTTTGTGGAAGACAAACACGGAATGGATTTCTCCAACTTTTCAGCTATTAAGAGGTTGCAACGAATTTTTATCTCATATATCCAATAATGTTTAAATGATAACCTAGATTCAGTGTCTTCTAGAACACAGTATACGAATGTGACTTGTGGAAGATGATTGACAATCTATCGTCTTTGCTTAGCTTGGTCGTGATGGGTTAATGTAAATGGTCTAAGGTACTGAGATGCTCGACTTACTTATGGTTTTGATGTTGGAGAATGTGATTTGTTGGTGGTGTTCCTTGTTATCTCAGAATGAAAACTAAAGAAACGACAACTTTCAAGATTAATTTATTGATTATTTTTATTATATTTGTTCATATTATGTGGTTTTAAACTGAATAAGTTACGATGTACACACATTTCTTTTATCACAAGCTATAGACCAACCCGTTAACTACCACCTTATGACTTACTATTCACAGCAAGTCCTCAGTTTATTATTAACAGTCCTTCCTGCTCACAGTCACTTTTGGATTGATCATTTATGATTATTATTTCTCAGTTTGTTGTATGATGAGGTCTGGTATACATGTATATAAACTGCGTCTGCTTGGAATATAATATAGCTGAGGCTTGTTACTGAGCTCTGAACTCAAGGCCAGAATGTAGGGAGTAGCTATAGAGTCGTGGAATAATAAAACTTAGCAGTTGACTCAAGGTTACTAGTCCTGATTAAACGTGTAACTGATAGAATTAGAGACATTAAGTCATAAAAATCAGGATTCTGATAGGTGGTTTTGCCACGTGCTTTCGGTCATCAGTCATAAGACAAAATAGTGTTAATAGAAAGTTTCATGTTGAATTTGATGGGGGGTTCGCCTCGGTAATGATGAAATTGCACGAACAGCTCAAGAATAGCATATCATGTAGGTTGTCAGACTAAGAACTAGAGGTTGCTATTCAGTACTGGGTTTAGACAAGTGGCTTGAATCAATAAATATTGAATACTACGGGAAACTTAGTCTCCTACGAATTGTACCCTCATGACGACCCTATATTTTCCACTCCTTTAAAAATGTCAATTTAATTTGTGAATCGTATAACGAATCATGTCAGTTGATTATCTTACACTATTTCTCTCCTACTCACTGTCGCCTTTCAAAACTAAGTAAATACGTTTCCTGAAATTCCGTTCACTTATTGATGTTACAACTAGGTCAGCCTATTTTCTATGCCCATCAAACATTCATCTTCTACAGCTTTGAATATACGAAATGGTTTTACACCAGGATGTTTGAACTATTCCTCAACTACATCAGTTCACAGTGTCTAGCGTTTTTGACTCGAAAGTCAGTTCGTTACCTCGAAACACTTTTATAAGTGATGTAAGTGGAAACTGTAGCCTGATCATTACTAGCTTCTGTCGGAAATACCCCCAGGACAACAGTGACCAGTTAGGGAAATTCGCCAAACATAGTTAACTCGGAGAACATGCAAAAACATTACGAAAATTGATGTGAGACGGAAAAAAAAGCTGTTAACACATGATAAGTAACGGGATGTAAAGTCCACGATAACATGTAACATGTGCGCCAAAACCCATGGCTTAACGTTCTGACCGTGTCCGGAGAAAGAAGCTTCACAGACTCCTGGTAAAACTGATCTTGCTACTTTACAGAGCTATTGATAGTGAAGCTAGGGGCGAATCGCGTGACCAAAAAACTTTACTTAACCCCACTTCTAAACTGGAACAGTAGATGGATGTGTCTAGATATCATCATTATGCTTAAAGCTTTTATTAACAAATCCTTCTAGATATCAATAAAATTCTTAAATACATCTTTTAACAACAAACAGTTTCAAAATGCAGTCCTGTACCAAGAACCAAAAGCTATCCTAATACCAAAAAATGCGACGATTGCTGGCCTGTAATAAATGTGTTAGTACTTTACGATTTGGCTAGAAATACAGGTATGGTGAATACAAACAAAAAATAACAAAAAATCAACTTGCTTTCTTGAGTTTTGTACAGTCTGAAAAACTTGATCAAAGTCAATAGTTTTGATGCAATCTAGGATAAACCTATCTTACGATAGTTGTCACTTAGTTACATACGTGATAACTTCTAGACCGATCCAAAAACGTAGTCTGGGTATGGTGACGTGTGGGACTCTAAGAGTTGGGCTTCAGCTTTGTCGGTCTTTAAACCAGTTAGTCGAAGTTTCCTTATCTAAAAATTTGTATGTCACTAAGAGTGCGTGATGTGCTTGTAGCTCCTCCAGAGTTACTGCCAGTCCCAAGCCCGGATAAAAGGTGAGGGTTGGGCATGCGGTCAGCAACCCCATTCCGTTGAAGACGACTTTCCTGGAAAACGTCAACTATTAGAAAACCATTTAAACTTTGCCATATGAGATGAAGGGTTTTCATGTAGAACAGTCATGACGTCTCATGGTAAAAGCTCTGATTCTTAAGAAGTCATGGAGTCGATTCCCCAAATTACAACCAGAACACCAATTAACATAGGTACATAGAATCCTCAGACAGTGTGAGACTGGTAGGACCAATCAATAGCAACGAAAATGAGGAGATACAGCTTGGCGGTACTTGGAATAAGTGAAACCGATTGGACACAAGCTTGACAGAAACGGCTAGGTTTGGAATAGTTGCTGATGTATTCTGATCATGAGGAAGAAAATGCCCCACACACAAAAGTTGCACTGATGCTTTCCAGAGAAGCACGAAAGGCAATTATATGATGGAAATCTCATGGATTCTGGATCATCGCAGAATCATTAAAATCAGAGAAGAAGAGGATCACAATGAATGTTCTCCAATGTTACACATCCACCAATGATAGCAATGACGAAGGTAAAGACCAGTTTTGCGAGGGGTTGTATACGATCTTAGAGAAGTGATCAGAAGAGGACCACAAACACAAGCTCACCACAGGGAATGAGACCTATAATATTTGCTCCACTAAAAAAATTAGAAGGTCATTGGGATACGTGAGAATCAGGAGGAGGGCTGACATTGCTTCAGATCACCACCTGATGGCTGCCAATTGAAACTGAAGCTAAAGAAGCACTGGAAAGCCGAAGAAACCGCATTACGAAGGTTCAACACAGCCTTATTTCATGATACTGACAAACCCAACGGGTTCAAGATACCTTTCGACAACAGGTTTGAAACCTTACATTTCAAAGAAGAGGAAATTACAATGGG